GTGTGAATTCTTTTAGTGTAATTATTTTGAGATTTACACAAATTGTATGTATTAATAGTTCATAGGTTTTTATTGCTTCCTAATTTTTCCTGGCATGGATATAACAGTTTATCTGTTTCGCTCTTGATAGACATTCCAAAAATGGGCATAAATAAAATTTTAAGGGTGATGGATATACTCATTATCTTGATTGTAAGATTATTTCATGGGTCTATACATATATGAATACTTACGAAGTGTAGCCTTTAAATTATTGTATACTAACCCATATAAATGGTACTCATTTCCATAACGGTTTTGTTTTTGTTAAGATTAGGTTATTTTTTATTTTGTAAATTTCTGTTTCTGTTAACAGTATATTCTGGGTATTCTTCTGCCTGGATAGTTATTGATTATATTCATACTTTGTTCAATTTTCCATTGAATAAAAGTGCCACCATTTATTCAATCACGTGAAAAAAAATAAATTATTGTATGCTGATTATATTTCAAAAAAACTATTTAAAAAGTTGTTTTTTAAAACAATGGCAGAGTGGCTCAAGGCTGAGGTGAGAGGATTGCCTGAGCTCAGGGGTTCGAGACCAGCCTGGACAACTTGGTGAAACCTTGTCTCTACAATAAATCAAAAAATAAGTCAGGTGTGATAGCACGGACCTGTAGTTCCAGCTACTTGGAAGACTGAGAGAGAAGGATCACCTGAGCCTAGCAGGTTGAGGCGGCAGTGGCCGTGTGTGCCACACTGCATTCTAGCCTGGGTGATAGAGTGAGACTCTGACTCAAAAAAAAAAAAAGTTGTCATATATAATCAGTCCTTCACAAGGAGAAAAAAAAAAATGAAAGTATTTTTGTTCTAAGATATCTGCAGTTTAAAAACTCTACCTATTTGTTTAATAAATAAATGTTACACTCTTTTTTTAAAAAATTGAGTTGGAGTCTCACTCTGTTGCCCAGGCTGGAGTGCAGTGGCATACTCACAGCCAACGCAGCCTTGACCTGCTGGGCTCAGGTGATCCTTCTGCCTCAGCCTTCCAAGTAGCTGGAACTATAGGCGCATGTGACCACGCACAAGTAATTTTTTGATTTATTGTAGAGATGAGGTGTCGCCAAGTTGCCCAGGCTGGTCTCGAACCCCTGGGCTCAGGTAATCTCTCGGCTCAGCCTCCCAAAGTGCTGAGATAACAGACTTGAGCCACCACACCCGGCAAAATATCCGGTTCTTAAAAGGCAATAATAGTTTGTATTACTCTGGTTTGTTTAGAACTAAATCACATATCATATTTGAAAGCACTTGGCATGTAAGTGTTCAGCAAAGTTTATTTTTTTTGTATCCTTTCTGCTTCCAGATTTAATTAATAGTAGTCATTCTTAATTTTATTGAGCTAATTGCATATTTGGTTCTTTAGTTTCCCTTATTAATAAAGAGTGAGAAACTTCTTCTGGAAGCTCAGATATTCTCTTCCTTGAAATAAAAATAATACTTTTAAATTTAGTACTTATTTTTCTACAAAAGCCTCTGCTCCCTCATTTATTTCACATGCTTGAATTTTCGTATTTGAATTTATAGTCAAACTGAATTGACTTATTCGTCTTTTAATTTGCATCTCATGTCTTTAGAAACTAATTTTTATATTTTAACCTTATGCAGATCTAGGCAAATTTTTGGTCCATTTTAATTTCCTAAAGATTAATTTTATTTGAATTATAATCATTATAAATATACTTGGATGAAATGGTTAAAATTCAGTATTGTCCCAGTTGAAACCAATACAATTTCAAGCTTTAGGAGTTAGCTTAAAATGTGCCATAATCAGTTGCCCACTTCACCAAAAAATAGTAAGACTTTATATAGGTCCTTGCTTTGTAAGAATTCAGATACAATCTGAGTTACATTCATGTAGACTTAGATCAACCTAAAATTTATGACTAGAAAATCTTAACTACTTTACTCAGTATTCTAGAGCCAGGAATAGAATAAAAATCTGTGACGAATCTGTTAGAGCAGTAATCCTTAGCCAGTGAATCGGATCTAAGCTGGTAGTTTTTAAAGTTAGCATTAAACAGATGTCCGGGGTTTCCTTCAGTTTGCTTCTTGGTAGTTTTGCCACTTGGTGATCTTGAGCAAGGTGCTTTATCTCTGCACCTTGGTTTTATCACTTGTATGATGGGGACCCAAAAATATTGGAATTATTTTGGGGAGGGTGGGCTCCTTGTAATCCAAGCTTCCCATGCTGGGTAAGTGTACCAGCTAGCATTGTGAGATGCTGCATTTGGCTTTAATGATTGTTTTTGTTTGTTTGTTTGTTTGTTTGTTTGAGGTTCTTTCATTGCATTGCCCATTTCATGATGAGTGATTTAAGAAGACACCTGCCCGTACCATGCTGAGTGCTCAGCAGTTTTTGACCAAAACCAGCATGACCCCCATGCCCCTCCCTCCCTATTTACCCTATCTCTCTCAAAGCAGCTTTTTTTGTGTGTCCCTGGATTTAAAAAGTCCTACAAGGGAAACATTTTGCCAATGTGGAAGAGGTGAAACAAAAAACGGCAGAAGCACTAAAAGGCATCAAAACTGACAAGTTCAAAAACTCTTTTTGAGCAGTGGAAAAAGTGTCTTGATAGGTGTATTGCATCAGATGGAGAGTGCTTTGAAGGTGACTGAAGTTTAACCGTAGAACAATAAATACACATAGCTGGGCTCGGTGGCTCAGCCTGTAATCCTGCGCCTTGGGAGGCTGAGGTGAGTGGATTGCCTGAGCCTGCGGGTTTGAGACCTGCCTGGGCAGCGAGACCTCATCTTTACAATAAATCAGAAAATTAGCCGGATGTGGTAGCACACACCTGTAGTTCCAGCTACTTGGAAGGCTGAGGCGGAAGGATCACCGGAGCCCAGTAGGTCGAGGCTGCGGTGGCCGGGAATGGCCACTGCACTCCAGTCTGGGTGACAGAGTAAGACTCCAACTTAAAAAAAAAAAAGAATAAATACATAAATTTTTATAAATAAATTCTGGTTTTTTGGGGGGGTTCCTCCTTGTAAATGCCCTGACTTCTCTAAGTGACCACATGAGTTCATGTATATGAGAAAGTTTGGGGCATATTCATAAATAGCACATATGAAAACACATGGTTCTCATTCTGCTTGCTGCTTGTTCTCCTCTTTATCATGTTCTTCTTTGCTTACAGATGGCTGAGATTTCCAGGTGGGAGAGGTGGTCAGTGTCCTCTCAATATCCCCTTCCTTCCCTTCCATCTTGTGATTTCAGGGTTATAGGCCAATGAAAAGTAGCTCCTTTTTAATAGAAGGAATGAAGACCTCTGCTCTAGAGTGTACTGCTTCATCATATAATTTGTGAACTCGACTGAGATATTTTGATAAACATACTTTCCTGTAGTGAAAGAGAGAGTATGAAGCTTATAAGCTAAGTATTAATGGCTAGTATGTATTGAGCGTCTGCCAGGATTTTTTATTCTTTACCACAGTGAGTCACAGGAAGGTTAAGTGGTTGCCCAAGGTCACAAAGGTGGGATTTAAACACAGTCATATTGTTTCTGGAGCCCAAGGTCTTAACTAGTATACCATACTGCTTTACTGATTATTATTCAACCTTAAGCATCAGAGTAAGACTCTCCTTGGTACTTGCCAGGTAATTAAAAGTGATGCTTGTTCATTGTAGAGAGAAGAAAACAAAAACTAAATTCCATAACTGGAGATGATCGCTACAATCTCCCAGTTTTTTCTTTATCAAACCAGTCCCAATTCTTACAATAAAAACCTTGTTGAGAATGGAAACAACAGACATGGCCCTGCTAAAGGAGGGAATGAGGGAAATAAGAAATATACAATCACTCACTTGGTACCATGTTCATTCATCACTGGGCGCTGGGGGCAGCGGGGAGAGGGCTTGTTAGAAGCTCAGACCTCCTATTCACGAAATATATCTGTGTGACAAATCTTCACACAATTTCCATAATTTTAAAATAAAGTAAAAACCTTGTTGCAGCTAGTGAAAACCAGAGTTTATGTATAATAAATTGTGTATTTATTCTTCCATGTTTAAACTAGTCACCTTCAAAGTACTCTTCATTTGGTGCAAGATACCTATGGAGACACTTTTTCTACTGTCTGAAACAGTTTTCGATCTTGTCAATTTTGATTACTTTTAGTGCTTCTGCCATTTTGGCTTCACCTCTTCCACATAAGCAAAACATTTCCCTTTGAGGATTGTTTTTCCTCTGGGAAAACAAACAGGAAAAAAAGGTTACTCCAGGCGAGATTGGGCGAATAGGGATGATGGGGTGCAGGAGTCGTGCTGGTTTGGGTCAAAAACTACTGAACCCTCAGTGCAGTGTGGGCAGGTGCGTTGTCATGGGGGGAGAACCAATCACCTGTCTGCCACACTTGGGACTTTTCTTCTGCAAACCATGATGCAACCCTCTCCAAACTTCCAGATAACAATGTTGGGTGAGGATTTGCTCCAGAGGAACAAATTCCAAGTACACTACAAGGGACTCACCCTCCGAAAGATCATTTTGGTTTTTTTTTTAGTGGGGGAGCCCTCACATATAAAAATATCATTAGTGGCACTTCATTTCTTATTTTTTCTTTTCTTTCTTTTTTTTTTTTTGAGTCAAACTCAAACAGTCCTCCCGCCTTGACCTTTCTAAGTGCTGGTATTACAGAGATGAGCTACCATGCCCGGCCCATTTCTTTATCATTAATAGGCTGGAAAATGTAGTTCCGTGGACCCTTTTAGCTGTAAATTCTTACAAAGCGAAACATGGCAATCTTATCTGTGAGGGGGGAGGCCTAAAATTCATATTTATTTTTCTTAATTTGTTACTTTTTAAATGTAGGTTCTAAAATACTTGTGCATTTCTCTGAATTTTTAAAAATACATATCTTGTGACTGTTACAGCTGAAACGATTGTTGTCTTTATTCTATTTTTATAGCACTGCTTTGTCTAAAAAGGGCTGTTCGTGAGCTTTGTCCTTTTGTGCTTCGCAGGAACCAGCACCTATGACAGAAGATCTGCTAGAAGAGCAGTCTGAGGTTTTAGCTAAATTAGGTACATCTGCAGAAGGGGCTCACCTCCGAGCACGCATGCAGAGTGCCTGTCTGCTCTCAGATATGGAGTCTTTTAAGGTGGGTCACAATTTCAGAGCCCTGGGGTCTATTTGGAGCTATTCTGGGATGAAACTGTGAAAGTTACTCTGTAAAGTGGTATGAAGGCTTGAATGTCTTTTTGTTAAATGTTGGATTTCATTAGTAGTTATAACACCCTGCCACCATTCCCTAAAGGACATAGTCATACTTGTTCCTTAAGTTTTAAAAAAGAAAAGTACCAATCTGTTATTAATAGTTGAAAATTGAGAATTGAATTATTTCTGTATGTGTATTGGGATGCTTTTTTCCTTTGTGTGTGTTCAGCCAATTTAATGCAAGGCGTTTAGGAAACCCTTAAGATTTAATGTGGGTCGCTTCACTCAACAGACTTTTGAGTGCCTACTGTGTGCCTTGTACTATGATTAGATGAGTAAGAAATACAGTGCTTAACCTCAGTTACAGTCTAGTGGGGTTATACGGGGAGATATGTAAAGAATTATCATATGATGAGTTATCTTATGAAGACAGGATCAAAAAGACTGACACTGCTGAGTGAGTCTCGAGAGGTTTCTCAGACAAGACACTGGTTAGGATGAATAGGCATATTCCATATGAAGAAGAATCTTTTAGGCTTAGATGTAGGCCTGTATCCAAAACATACAGGATTCAAGGAATGGTGGACATTTGACTTATTAGCTTAAAAACCAGGAATGAAGAAGTTTTTGGAATTATTTATTCTTGAAAGCAAAGGCAAGTCCATGTATATTTTAAAAACTCCACTTGGGTAGCCCAGTGGGCCACTGGGCTTCCTTTTCTACTGCTTATACTCTGAACTGTCTTCTAGGCCCAGACCTTCTTCCTTAGCCTGTGGTAGCCTTCAGCTTCCCAATCCAGAGCCCCTGCTTCTGTGCTATGTAGGCCAGCCTGAGCTTGATTTTTCTTTTTTTTTTTTTTGAGTTGGAGTCTCACTCTGTCGCCCAGACTGGAGTGCAGTGGCCGCTCCCGGCCACCGCAGCCTTGGCCTGCTAGGCTCTGGCGATCCTTCCGCCTCAGCCTTCCGAGTAACCAGAATTAGAGGCATGCGCCACCACGCCCGGCTGATTTTTTTACTTGTTGTAGGGATGACGTCTCGCTGCCCAGGTGGGTCTCGAACCCGTGGGCTCAGGCAGTTCACACACCGCAGCCTCCCAAAGGCACGGGATTACAGGCTGAGCCACCGAGCCCGGCTAAGGGAGCCTTTTATTCCCTGCTTATTTTATGTGTCTTTACCAAAAGGAAAAGTCTTCAGTAAACCTCTTAAGAGCTATCTGTTTTCCTTGGAGACTAAAAAGATACAGAAAATCTGTGAGTTATTTTCTGCCATGTGACAAAAGACATATATTGCTTTAAAACAAATAGTTTGTACAGGGCTTAAAGAGAAACCAGTTGGCTCTCAGGGCACATGTCAAACCAAAAAGGTGGAGAAGGGAATTGGCATAGGGTGTGTGTGCACAGCAGGAAATACCAGCCACCACAGCAGTTATTTTCCATCTGACGTATCGTTACTTTCATAGTCATCTTTTCCTGTCCTGCTACAGTGTCTTTGCAGAGGCATGTGCAGGAAGAGATTCCAAATGGGAACTGTGAAAGATTTTTCCTATAGAAACATACTGGTCCCTTATGGTAAGATTCCATATAGCTCCTTTAACACTGTGCTTCAGCAAAATGTGGTTTATTAGACTTTTTTAGACTTACCTGGGTACCTACAAATCTTTAATTTTCATTATTTTAATCAGAAAATAGATTGTAATTTAAATGCCACATTACACATCTCCTATGTAGGAATCCGATAATATGTTTAAGGGCATATGTAATTACTCTAAAATAGATATAGTTGTCTTTACCTTTTTGTATAGGGATGACTTAGTATTAGGGGCCCTTGAGAGAGTCCCCAGAGCATCAGATAAATGGTCATATATTCCTGAGCTACCTACACCCCACGATTCCAGAAGGACAGGGTGCGTTCTGGAGCATGCCTTTGTGGTACAAACCTTGAACAATTTAAAAAAAAAAAGTTGTAATCGAAGTGTGCCTTGACCCTTCCTGGTAGCTGTGTGTCCAGCCTGGTATAGTAAGGACAACCAGAAGGAAGACTCCTGGTGTGAAATGTCTTTCTTTAATATAATCTATAATGCCTAAGTTGAATGTTATTTTCTCTTGAAGTTTGATCTCATTACTCAAGGCCTATCTCTCTAGTTTCCTAAGATGTTTTCACGTGGGTGTGGTGTTGCCTGGTTAAGATCCAAATCTTGGTACATGAATTTTGCATCACTGAGTGTCACGAGGTAATCTTGACCCACTGCAGTTCACAGCAGTTCTTTGTTGTCATGGACCATGTCATAACCCTTAGAAGTTTATGTTGTTGACAGTCAGTGGTTCTTCCTCTGATTCCTCAACCCCCCTCAGGAGGATTTCCTAAAATGATAGAGATAGTCAAGTCATTGAACCCAGTGAGAAGAAACTGTCTTACTTAAGACAGACCATTCTCGTCATGTTGGTTTTCATGCCCATCCAGTAATGCCCTCTACTAGTACCTTACTGGAACTTTTGCAGAAAGACCTCCATGCCTTACCATTAACACTGTGAAGCCTCTTTGTTTTTCAGGCTTGAAAGTGGAATCATGGAAAGATTTTTGGCATGGCTCGTCATTAATTCTATAGAATTATTTACTGACTAAAACTTTAATCACTTTGGATCTAGAAGCCTGAAAAATAGTAGTTGGAATTCCAAGTCCTTAACAGCACAAAACCAATTAATATGATGGAAATTGGTTAAATAAAGAACAAGAATTTGATAACTGAATAGAACATTTTTGCAGTTAGCTGGTATTTACTGCAGTATCAATATTGATGTATTGAAGACAAGAAGAACAGAACTTTTCCATTACTGTATTATTCTGATCATGCTGCATATTATTTAATTTAGTTGACATGAGCTTATTTGCTGTTTTCTAAGTATCAACTGGTTATCATACTATAATTTTAAACTAAGTTATGTAACATATAATCTGTTTAAGAAAATGATTTTCACTTTAAGTTTTTATTTCCAAATTCATCGAGTGAACTGTTTTCTTTTTCTTTAAAACAGAAATAATGAACATAAAGTGCTTTTGGTACTTTAACCTCCTAACCTTCTTTGAAAGTGACACCCAGATAGGCTTTTTGTGAAAATATGATTTTACAAGCAGACTTACTAATAACTGTTGATTTTTATTTGATTCTGCTTAATTTTTTGGCTTATTTTAGGCAGCTAATCCAGGTTGTTTTCTAGAAGATTTTGTGAGATGGTATTCACCTCGGGATTATGTTGAAGAGGAGGTGATTGATGGGAAGGGCAACGTAGTGCTGAAGGGAGAGTTGAGCGCTCGAATGAAGATTCCAAGCAATATGTGGGTAGAAGCCTGGGAAACAGCGAAGCCAATTCCTGCTAGAAGGCAAAGGAGACTCTTTGATGATACGCGGGAAGCAGAAAAGGTAATTGAGATTTGGGTCTCTAATACTAGACTGCTAATTATGGTTCTAATCGTTTAGAAACTATCATAGACATGAAAGCTTTGGACACACTTGAGAAGCAAAGCATTGAAATTCAATGAGCCTTTTATATATCTAGTATTCACATTTAGGATTTTAGAGCTAATTGCAAATAGGCAAAAAAAAAAAAAAAGACATGCGTACTTTATGCAAACTGCTTACCACTGAACTGTCTCACAGTACATGTTAAAAGCATTAAAAATGTCCTTTGACCTGGCAGTTCTACTACCAAAACATTTATTAAGGAAATAATGAGAAATAATACAATGACCTATTTATTTGAATGATGTTCAACAAAATTCTTAAGTAAAAAAGTAGAAACAACCAAAGTTTACAACAATAGGGTCTTGGTTCAATAAATCATGGTATATCCAGCTAGTGAACTGCTTTGTAACTATTAAAAAACATTTGTAAGTGTTGAGAATAGTGGCACCTGCTTGATGTCAAATTGTCTTACATACCCTCCTGCTCCCACCATTCTCCCCAAAACCCCATGAAATCAGTAAGTAGAGTAAATAAATCCATGCATTCAGCATTACTAGGAGGTAGAGATTACAGTGACCTTCAAATTAACAGCAAGTAGAGAAATAAGCAAAATTTCTGTGGCGCTCCCACTGCTGTAAGCCTGTGGGTGTAGAGGATGGGGGAAGAGAAAGAAAACAAGCCGAGAGAAACAGAGGACTTAGACGAAGCACAAAGTCACACCAGAAAGAGAGTTTAACACCGTGTGTTAAAATACTGAACACAGGTAGGGCTTCCTCATTCACAGCGTTGGCTACAGGGAAGGGGCTTGAATGTAAATAGGACTAGAAGTAGAGCCTTGGAGAAAATCAGATAATTCAGAGAAGGAATGATGCTCCTTAGCAATGATGGGAAAGAAGGAAATAAAGGGGAAGATGAATGTTTCTGCAGAAATGAAAAACAGACAATACAGCTAATCTTCCCATCCCCCGTATCCATTAAAGAAGTGTCAGAAAAGAGAGCCCCTTCAAACTGTCTTCGATATTACTAGTTATAGAAGAGAACAGACCACATTCATACAAAACTACGTCACAGAACAGAAAATGCAAAGTAGATTATTTCAACCAATGAAAATATTTCCCAGAAAGTCCACCACAAAGCAGAAGAAATTGTAACATAACACTCCAAACTGAATCAGATATCCTCAAATAATTATGAGGATATGAAAAACCCATGTTTAATCAGAAATACTAAAACCAAAACTAAAAATGGACGAAAAACCCCCACAGAGAAATGAAACCACAGGAAAATAAATGATTTAACTCAGGATAGAAGTAGAAGAAAAAACAACTATATCAAAAATAAGACTAAGTTGCAAGGAGCCCAAGAGAGAATAGATTTACATTTAAGTTTAATAAAAGGTATTAAAGAAAAATGGGAAAATAGTCAAGAGAAAGAAAATGAGATAAAGGAGTTGGGGAGAAAGTAGTAGAAATAGAAGATAAGAAAGGTAGGAATAATATTTATTTGTTTCTTTGAAAAAGAAAAATTGGAACATTAAAATAGAACTAATACAATCACATGTGACATAGCAAAGGGCTATGTTCTGAGATATTCATCATTTGGCGATTTTGACATTGTATGACCATCATAGAGTATACTTACACAAACCTAGGTAGTATAGCTCACTACACACCTGGGCTATAAAATTATAGGGACAAAAATCTTCTGTTTAATAGTGCTTGGTGAAAGGAGAAATACAAAGTGAAATTACAGAATTTCTGAAAAACAGTGATATTGAAAACACTAGAGGATATACAGTACTTAAGAACTGATCAAATGACAAGTCACAGCCCCATACACCTATGTTAGTCAAAACAAAAGAATGGAAATAAGTGACTTTTATTCCTGGTTGAAAATCCTAGAAAAAGCTCAGGTCAGCACTTTGGGTGGCTGAGGCGAGAGGATTGCCTGAGCCCATGGGTTTGAGACCAACCTGGGCAAATTGGCAAGACCTCATCTCTACAATAAATAAAAAAGTTAGCTGGGTGTGGTGGCGCACACCTGTAGTTCCAGCTACTTGGGAGGCTGAGGCAGAAGGATCACCTGAGCCCAAACAGATCAGAGCTGTGGTAGCCATGAGTGTCACTGCACTGGGTGACGGAATGAGTCTCTGACTCAAAAGAAAAAAATAAAACCAAAAAAACCTAAAAAAAGAACAACAAAGTAAAATCAAAAGAAAAAAAGGAAGGAAATAAAGATAAAAAGAGAAGGTAATGAAGTAGAGAACAGAAAAACAGATCAAACTAATAAGTTAAATCTTGTTCTTTTAAAATTAACAGAATAGATGAGCTACCAGTCAAAGGAAAAGCAAGGACGTACAAAATAAGAAATGACAAAATGGGCAAATTACTACAAATACAGACGAAATTCTTTTTTATTTTTTTTTTTAAAACAGCACTTTGTACATCTCTGTATATATAAATTTGAAAACTAAGTTGATTTGTACAATTTCTTAGGATAACTCCTACCAGAAATTTAGTTTCTAGCAAAACTAACTCCAGTAAAGACAGAAAGTGTAGGTGAGGCTTAGTGGCTCAGCCTGTAATCGCAGCACATGGGGAGGCCGAGGCAAGTGGATTGCATGAGCCTGTGGCTTCGAGACCAGCCTGGGCAACTTGGCAAGATCTCGTCTCTACAATAAATTTTAAAAAATTAGCCAGGTGTGGTAGCGTGCGCTTGTAGTTTCAGTTACTTGGAAGGCTGAGGTGGAAGGATCGCCAGAGCCCAGCAGGTCGATGCTGGGGTGGCCGTGAGTGTGCCATTGCACTCTAGCCTGGGTGACAGAGTGAGACTCCAACTCAAAAAAAAAAAAAAAAGACAGAAAGCATAAACAGACCAATTTCCTTAGAGACAGTTCGAAACTACCACATAAAAAAACACCAAACCCTGAGGGTTTCACAGAAAATTTCAACTAAATATCCAGCAGCCATATAGCCCCAGTGCTACACAGATTATTGCAACACAGCAATTGCAGGAAATTTTCCAAAATCTTTTAATGAAGCAACTATAACATTGGTACTTAAACCTGATAAAGATATCATGTTTTTATTTTTATTTATTTATTTTTAAAATTTTTATTTTAGAGATGTGGAGTACAATTCAGGGTTGGGTATACAAATGGTCTTGTACAAGTAAATTTTGGGCTTCACTTTGATCCCCACTTCACCTGGTTTGAGATCAGGTCCCCTTATTGATGAAGTATGCCCCATGCTCCCTCCCCCGGCAGTATTCCACTACTACCAATCCCTTTCCTATAGTATTGTGATAATTGTTCAGGGTCTGCTTATGAGTGAGAATATGTGGTACACAGTTCTTTGTTTCTGTAATAGATCACTGAGTATTATGACACCATATTTTTTAAATAACAGACCAGTAATATCTAAGAAATTTAGTGCAAAAATCCTAGGTGAACAGACTGCAATACTACTTTAAGAAAATAATACATGTCGACTAAATTTGAGGATGATTATTTAGAAGTCTGTTTATATAATCCACTTCATTAACAGGTTTAAGCAGAAAATTTTATTAACTTCATATGTGCTGAAAAAGCCTTTGCTAAATGTAGTCAAAACTCTTGAGAAAACATATAGAAACCTCAGTCTTAAACATAGCCTCTTTTTTTTTTAGTGTGCTTAATTTTTTTTTTCTTAATAATCAATATTTTTTATTATGATATTGTGGGGTACATTTAAGGGTTAGTTCCAGGTTCTTGCTATTGTGAACAATGCTGCGATAAACATTCATATGCAGGTATCTTTTTGATAGAGTGATTTGAGTTCTTCAGGGTATATTCCCAGTAGGGGGATTGCACTCTTAATGGGGGAAGCCCTAGAGGTCACTCAGGTCAGGAACAAGGATGCTCAATAACTCCACTGCTGTGAAACATTACTCTGGAGGTATTAGCCAATGTAAGTAGACAAGAGAAAACAGAAGAATAGGTGTTGAAAAGAAGAAAGAACTCTGCAGATCATATGGCAGCTGGAAAATGTGGAAAATTAGTGATAAGACTAATCAAACAAAAGAATTCTGCAAGGCAGCAGTATACATATAGTAAATATACAATAATCAGTAACATCCATATATACAAATAATAACCATTCAGATAATGTAAATTAAATTCTTTTCATTATAATAGGAAAAGAAAATACAAATAAACATAATAAAATGTTTGAGATCTGAACAAAGAAAAAGACAATAAAACACACTTGAACAATAGAAAGCTATCCCTTGTTCTTGTTTTAGGAAGTCTCAACCTCATCAGGGTCTTTCTCCTAATTGCATTCCCAATAAAAAGACAAAAGGTAGCCGGGCTCGGTGCCTCAAGTCTGTAATCCCAGCACTTTGGGAGGCCGAGGTGAGTGAATTGCCTGAGCCCATGGGTTTGAGGCCAGCCTGGGCAACTTGGCGAGACCTTGTCTCTACACTAAATCAAAAATTAGCTGGGCATGGTAGCGCATACCTGTAGTTCGGGCTATCTGGAAGGCTGAGGTAAAAGGATCGCCGGAGCCCAGCAGGTTGAGGCTGCGGTGTCTGTGAGTGTGCCACTGCACTCCAACCTGGGCGACAGAGTGAGATTCAGACTCAAAAAAAAAAAGAAAAACCAAAGGCTTTATTATGGAGCCAGAAGTTGATACTGAAGTTCGTATGGAAAAATAAACATGTAATCTGAGGACTCGGGGGCACTGGGGAGGACATGGGGAGTGACTGCTAATGGGTTTCTTTTAAGAGTAATGAAAATATTCTAGAGTTGATGGAGGATTTGGTTGTACAACTGTGAATATGCCCCAAACTATTAAATTATACACTGTCAATGGATGAATTGTTATTTTTAAAAAGCATGCATGGGCTGGACACTGTTCCTCATGCCTGTAATCCCAGCACTGTGGAAGGAAGAGATGGGAGGCCTGTTTGGAGCCAGG